TGAATGTCCCTTTGATATCTTTTGCCACTCTTTTAAGGACTAAATCAGAGGTGTTTAAATAACCATGTTCATTTTGTTGGTGCTTTTAAATCAATTTTCGATAAAATTGAAGACATCTTTGTGCATTTAGGAATATATGTACAATAGACAAACAACGACGAAAACGAAAAGTAATGAAATTCGTGAAAAAAACACTAATAGCCGGATATTTAAACATGTTGTTGAAACATATAATGTTAATAAAGTCTGGTATTTAAATATTGTCTTTTGAAAGTTCACAATAAATGCAATCAACTTTGGTATCTGCAAATATACAAGTGACTGGCAGAAAATAATAAATAGGGAAACAACTTGTAAGTAGTATTTGTCGATTTTCTTGATCCATGAATAGAATCTTTTCTAACATCTTAAAGTTTCAGAGCGTTGTATCTCATATGACTAAATGTGATACAGGTTTTAAATATTCCCGACATCCTCAATTTCAAAGAGCCTTTTATCCAACACATTGATACTACTGAAATACCTAATATATCTTACAATGCACGATACTGAAAACACTACTCTTAAATCTAATTGTGAAAATTCAAGCTTTAGACATGGTCCTTGGGGTTTTGATGTTACCGGAGATTTTATCATTGCCCTTGACCAAAATATCATGACAAAAATTGAGCGTCGATTGGAGAGAGCGAAAAAAGAATTTTAGCCTAGGAACTTTATAATGACACCAAAATAGACGTTTATTTTAGACTGGAAGATTTATTTGAGACCGTCGTCGATCTGAGGAAAACATATATATGTAAGCCTTAAATCTATGTTCAGACTCAAAAGTCCAAAAAAACACCGTATAGAGAAAAAAAAAGTAAAGATTTAGCAACATTAACCACTACAAAAACTGCAGGTGCTTCGTACATGTAGACACTTCTTGCTCCACTAATGAGAATCGTCGTGGTGCTAATATAATCATTTGATTCAAATAAAGGACATTGCATAATGCGTCTTCATGATAACAACAATGTCTTTGCTGCTATCTTGACGACTCGTTTAACATTATTTAAGTTATATAGAATCGTTGATATATTTGTGTAGTATAATATCGAATCGACCTTAAAACTATCCATATGTCATTTCTCAAAGACGATACCAAAAAATGATTTTTTACGAATAAGGATATATCTTTTTTTTCAATTATTAACGTAACGATTTTATACTTGAGACCTGTGAAGACATAACACGAATCACTATAATTCGTGAGGATACTTGTACATCTGTCTACTCAAAGAAAAAAATATATTAATAACGTATTTGTGAGGAATCGGATTGGCGCATTTTAATCTTTTAAAAAGATATAAATCAAGGTAAAATCAAAACTGTGGGGATCGCATGAGGTCAAAACGGAACGAGACCGGGTGCGTCGACAGGGGAAGCTAGTTCTGCTATTCGTGCATCACAAGTCATGAGATTCAAAATAAGTCACAATGTCATAATTGAGGATGGGACAAAACTGGTAAATTTACAGATCAGGCGACTATTCTGCTAGATCTTAGACGGCGAACATATTTTTGCTAGTGAGTTGATACACAGTCACATTGCGAAGACTGTTAGGATTAACTGATTTTTTGTCGACATATAGTAATGTTAAGGTGATGGAAATGATAGAAATCAAGTGTTCTTTTATTTATCAAGTGATCGTTCTTTTATTTATCAAGTGATCGTCAAGTTTCCACCTAAATTTTCATCTACATCAGATAACGTACGGGAAGGACTGTGACGTTCAATATAGGGTACTATTCTCGAGCACATGTGGCAGAATAAAACAGGTTAATGAGTTTTCAGTACTCAATGAGAACAAATGCACGTTATCTTGAAATGTAAGTCAAATGAAATAAAATATTTAATCAAGTTCACTCTAAAGGTAGTCGAAAAGCAGCATCCCTCTATAAAGGAAATCATGATAGAGGCGCAGTCTCTGATATAGATTAAGTTTGTGTCATTTTTGTTTTTGTTTTTTGGTTTGTACCTTGCTCTTTTTAAATTCTTTCTTGAACACGCATAATCTTGGTTGAGTCTCACTCTTGTATAAATATAAATGATATTATTCTCTTTTCATTATATTTTAGTACCCTATTATTCTCTTTTCTTTATTTTTTGCCTTTTTTTCTTTTTTCTTTAATTTGTAGTCATTTATTCTGCACTGTTTGCCCATTTTTCTGTTCTGTAAACCCACCTAGACCCTCATATAGTAGTCTATGAAAGATAAATAGAACTTCCTTTTTCAATTATAAGTTTACTTTAAGTTTCGTTATGTCTGGTTATGTATTATGATCACCTTCTGTAGTACATAAAATGTTTTTTATTGTTCCCGTTGCTTCCGTTTTTTTAAAGGTTAATCTGAAGCTTTACACGAAAAATTCAAACAAAATTGGAGAGGTAAAACTCAAATAATCAAGTCGTAATAGTCCACTCACTACGATCCCTCCATCGATCAGGGGAAATATTTAAGACCTAGAGTCATAGGCTTATTCGATATATAGATGAAATACACATATGGGTCATTTTCAAAAAATGTCGAATTTTCAGTACACCCATGCTAAAATATTTATTTCTAATTGAAATTTCAGTTGGAATTGTTTAAATGAAAGCTTGTAGGATTTATGATTCAGAACATTAATAATAAACACGATTTACATCTGTTTTGATAAGATTAAAATGTATTTAAGTCCGATTTTTGGGTAATTTGTGTGCGTACAGTGTCAGAGTAACACATTTCAAATGATTTTTTTCCAATTTTCTAATCGCCGTGATGTCTGCAAAAGGGACTTTTTAAGAACGTTAATAATAACTCTAACGAAAATTCGTAGCTTCTTTAATATTATATGTAACATTTTATCTACAAACTAAGTTCAATCAGCGTACATGAAGTTCATGTCCACCCTGTTACCGCTACTTAAATCAGCAGTTAAATTGTTCTCCCTATGAATATTGAATTGGTCAGTGTTGATTTCAAAAGTGCAAAGTAACCTTAACACTAAAACACAGCACGTTTCTTGAACCACAGTGAAGAGAAAAGATATTTCAAGACATTTAGTGAAAAAAAAATAGAGGGTACCTTTTTTTCATGTCTATGCTGTTACCAACATTTTGATTAATTACACCAAAAATTTACTTGTAAAAAGTTCAATAACGTGTTGGAAACCAAAATCACTACAGAACAACATTATCACTTCACCAAAGGGAGTAGTTATTTCACAACAGCATTCAAAAATGAAGAAATTTGTCTATCCTGTTATGTCTATCCTGTTACTATGGTTGCTATGGTTACAGTAACAGGATAGACAATTGTAGACAGAAACGTCTTTAAAAAGTTTATCATAACATATAGGTGCAACATAATGAAATATTTCGTTGTTTAAACTCATCTTAAGGTTATAACGTCTTAATCTTCCCAATTTAGCATTTGCAGGTGCAATACTGATATTGGTAACAGGATAGACAAAAAGGTAACAGGATAGAACTTTATATAGTGATATATCATTAACGTACGTTCCTGTTACCAATGAAATAAAGACAAAAGTAAACTAACATGTGAGGGATTTACTTGATGTAGGTTTTTTTTTAAAGAGAGCAAAAATGCTGAACAATATGAATTGCTATCTAAGACTTGCATTACTGGTGGTAATTTTTATAACCTTTGAAACCCAATTTTTAAAGGCATTTTTCAGTACAACCTGGAAAATTGGCAAATACTCTATTATTTCACAGAATGAATATATATAGAAGTTAAAACTCTTGAAAACCATCTAATTGGCTACGAAAAACAAGCTTAAAATTTTATCTTAACCTTTTCTTAATAACCCGAAATTTCTTTTGAACATGGTAACAGGAGAGACTCTTCATATGTTTTGGTACTTTGTGATTTAAAGAAGTAAGTGTTGATAGTATATCTACATGATCTCCAGTAGTCTCTATTTTCAGGCTATTTTTCGAGCTATTGAAAAAAATCCATAACCAGTGTTGAATAGAGGAATTTATTTTTCAATATGTGCAATATAATTCAACGTTCATATATTTACAATAAATCTAATTTTGTCAAATTGCCTCCATGTTGCGATCGATGATCAACAGGGTCATGACTAGGTCAACTAACAAATACAAAGTGAAACAGGCGAATGTTATTTTTCCGGAAAATAAATACTGTAATAATATGAAGTAGACAAAAAAATGTAAAACTAACTAACAACTGATTACTATTTTCTGATTACTATTTACTGAATAATTTCCCTGTTTGTTCAGCAAAACTAACCTTTCAGGGATACCCTGTCAAATGCTGTAGACATGGTATTTCTATAACAGCATATAGTGTAATAAACTTTTGTATTTACATTGTGTCATAGGTCAAATTTATTTGTTCAGTGTATGTTTAATGGTGTTAATATGTCCTTTGATTGAGTTAAGCTATTTCAGTTGATATTTTATAGTGTGTCTTTCTATGTTGGGATGTTACACTATTGTTTCAGAAAAAGGGTGAAGGTTTGGTACCATTAAAACGTTTAAACCCGCTGCATTTGTTTGCACCTGTCCTAAGTCAGGAATCTGATGTTCAGTAGTTGTCGTTTGTTTATGTGGTTCATAAGTGTTTCTCGTTTCTCGTTTTTTATATAGATTAGACCGTTGGTTTTCCCGTTTGAATGGTTTTACACTAGTAATTTTTTGGGGCCCTTTATAGCGGTGTGAGCCAAGGCTCCGTGTTGAAGACCGTACTGTGACCTATAATGGTTTACTTTTATAAATTTTGACTTGGATGGAGAGTTGTCTCATTGGCACTCATACCACATCTTCTTATATCTATTGATTAAAAAAATCAAATACTTGCATACTTGGGAAGCCTTATGACCGAAAGGAATCCAATAAGAATAACCAAATCCATATAAGGTAAATTTGGCTTGAGGGAGTTGGAAACCTTACTTACTTATCAGTTATATAAAGTGATATTTCTATTTCAGTTTCTAGCACTTGTTCGATACCGCTACTGGTAGACTGCTAGTCACTAAGAGTATCATCAGCGAGGTTGTCAGTGTTTGTTACTGACGTCATTTATTGCATACACTTCTTAAATTCACCACCAGTTGATTATTAAGAAAACGAAAATATAATTTGAAACAATTAAGCGCTTTTCTGGATTTACTTTTATCAGGAACGATCAATCAAAAACCCGCAAATTGAAAACCAAGATTGTATGAATACTTGAGGAGCTAAGATCTTGATCGACATAATAAGAAAAGCCTAGCCTAACTTATGTCAACTTTGCCTGAAGTAGATGAATGGAATAATTTTTTTCCATAACGGAGGGTTTAAGAGAGGTATGTTATACTTTTGTGTAAATCATGACAGGACCGAAGCACTGATTATATTCCAATAGACTAGTAGTGCTCCAGCAGCGGTTTCGGCCTAGTGCTATTAAATGAAAATAAACACTTAGCGTTTTTATGGATTAACTTTCACCAGGACCGCTTAAATCCAAAAAAAAAAATGATAGCCACGGATGTATAAATACTTATATATTTAATGAAGGTATATACGGTATTTGACCAGAGGGGACTCTAAAGAATAAAAAAATACACCCGAAACTATGCCTGATTTCACTGATTAACGATATTTATGTTATGAATCACAACATATTGCTGGGGGCAAGATGCACAACCTGGTATTTGAGTTTTTTCTATTCACAACAACTTGTTCTACTTAAAAATTGCAACTGGTTGTTTTTATATAACAATGTGTCCACAGTAGTGATTTTCTATGACGATACCCGAGCTAGGGTCTGGAAGGGGGAGTAATTCCTTTCTGTATTTTACCATTTTGTAGGCTATTTTCTCTATTCTTTATATTTTCGGAACCCATTATTCTCTATTCTTTTTTTTATCCATTTTTCTCTATGCCCATTATTCTCTATTATGTAGACCCTCATCCAGGCCCTCATAATGCTATCCATTTGAAATAAATGATGTCTGTTATCTTAGAAACTTTAGATAAATAGGCAAAATTTAATAATAATGAATTTTGGATATTATAAAGATAAGAAGATGTGGTATGATTGCAAATGAGACAACTCCCCACCAGGGACCAAATGACGTAGAAGTTAACAACTATAATTTACCGTGGCTTTTTTAATGGTCACAATGATGTACTTAATATTTAAATGATAGTAATTTACTTAAAGTGGTATAATCATACAACCAGGATAAAAACCGTGATATTTAATTTTAAGTAATGTCATATCTCCTATTATTTTCTGAACTATCAACTGAAGGTATGTTAAAATTTTACAAATATAAGAAAAATACACAAATTTGTGTTTGAGCTCCGAAATTAACAAAATATGTTTTTCCTATTGATAAAGATAACATTCACCATCTAAACCAATTTTAATATAGAATCTGATTTTTACCTTGATTTGTATCTTCTTGATAGATATACGAGTTTTTAACATTGATAAACGACTGTTGCCTCTAAATTTAACATTTACTACGAAAAATATCTTTTATTTTGAATTTACAAAAAAAAAAAACTTGTTCAGAAGTTTTACCTCATGATTTGACAAAAAGATCAATTAGATTTTTTGATGAAATATCATTAGATAGATCACAAAAAAAAAAAGAAATAATAATCGGAATTGTGGTCTTGTATTCGACATAAATTTCAGATTTAATCATTCATATCTGGTTTAATGCACACCAGCGATGTGACAGTACAGTAGTAATAAAATAACCTTTATCAAGATAGCAGGATATTGTCTATTATAATAATGAAAATACATGTATATAGCTATGGCTTGATAAATACATTGTCAATATTTGTCGACAAAGTTTCTTTTGCACAATGAAACTAACCAATGTTGCACAAGTGTCATCTCTACATAAGGAAATGTCTTACTAAGTCAGGAATAATAAAGTTGTTGTCCATTCGTTTGATGTGTTTGTGCTTTAGATTTTGCCATTTAATTAGGGACTTTCAGTTTTGAATTTTCCTCGCATTTCAGTATTTTTGTGATTTAACTTTTTTCTTACTCTGAGTAAAATACAAATCCTGTGTCCAAGCTTTGCTTACAAAGATATGAAAGGCTGCGATTTACTTAAAGACTGATTTTGTCAGATTATTACACACATTTAAAATTTTGAAGGTTGGTAATTTCTTGGGGGTAAAATTAAAAAAAAAATAACATAAAGTTAGTTGTATGACTCACAGCTTTTGTAACCAAAATCTCAGCTTCAATGCACAAAAACTCATAGAAACATGACGAGTTTACCGACTATTCTGTCTTTTGATTTCAGGTTGCAAACATGATACTGAAATTCAAATCTTACGCATTCTTTGTTATACTGAACAGTTGCATTTTGAGAAGCATAGTGGACGCTACAGGTTAGTATGGGTTGTAAGAATCTTAAGGATGTAGTCAGATGAAATTTTAAAAATCTGGAATTTAAAATTGATAATATAAATCAGAAGAACATTAGTTGAGGAACAAAATAGGCTAAAAATATTGATAGGTTATGGAACTCCTTTTCGATATTTTTGATTTTTAAAATATTGCAGGAAAAAGCTGACGTGGACTTTTACCTTATATCTAGCATTGGCATTATTTGGGTCTGAATCGTAGGAAAAGAAAAGTGGGTGATATGGGGCCAAATATTTTACCCTGTATTAAAGGACAACACTCAAGCAGTCCGAACTTCTGACAAAAATTCCTAAACCCGACATGACTACATCCTTAACATCGTTCACAGAGGGGGTAGACACCTCCCGCCCCACCTCCCGCCCCTATCTCCCACCACCCACTTTTAGAATCTTTTTTTCTCTCCCACCTATTTGTTGTTTCCCACCTTCCGTCCCCCGTCCTCCCGCCCCACCTGCCCCTCCCCCACCTCCCACCTCCCTCAAAAGCTGCCCACCCCTCCTTACAGTTTCAGTTAACTTTATGAATACAACCAAGCAAAACATTTCACTTCAAAACGTAACCTCTTTCTTTTTAACTGCAGTCAAATACATTTTGGGGATATCATTAATGTAGGCCATAAACTGAAAGCTAATATACACATCATACATGCATATACGCGCAGAGCTATATTTGGCCAAATTAATAAAATAAAATTCTTAATTCCGAAGTATTGTCAACTATGAAGTAAACAGTCCATTGAAAAGTAATCTGATTCACATTAACGGTTCACCAGGTCTTGTATCTTTCTGTTTATTTGTGTGAAGCAAACTTTTGAAAGTAATTTTGCATCAATTTCTTTCCCAAAGACGTTTGAACCCAGAATTTTACAATAAAGCATGAAGACTTATGTTTTACGTAGTGAATTTTTTTCCGTCTTTCGAAGCAGCAGTTTACCTGGAAAGGAATGAAAATATAAAACAATCCAAACATTTCAAAAGAGAAAATGTGTAACCGTTAAATTGGTTTTTTAAAACAAAAACGTAAAGAAAAATTATTTTATTCATTTGTTTTTGTCATTTATATATAGACAGACGTTGTCCGGATAATTATATCCGTTGTAGAGACGGGATTCGATGTTTCCCTCTTGTAGCATTATGTGATAATACGACAGCGCTCTGTAAAGATGGTAGTGACAAGGATCCTGAGTTCTGCAGAGGTAGTTATAAAGAGAATAAGGCAATAACGGTCTATTAAACTTTTGATTTGTTCTACTATTGTCTTAATAAGCATCAACGTTTCTCTGCTCATAATTGTTAAGAAAGCAAGACTTGGCGAGTGTTTTATAATTTTCGGAAATCAACGTAGGGAAGGGAGAAAAATGCAAATAAAAAGTATACATTTAAACTAGGGATGTCAACTCGGTGAAGATTTACTAATCGAGTACTCGTTGAATTTACCGAGCGATACTCGAGTATTCGCTCGGAAAAACATCTACAAAATGGAAATACAAAATTATACCCATTTCACGTATTGTGGGACGTTGTCTTATGGACGTAAAACCCTCAACATTATTACCCAGGACTAGATAATAGTCCCAGGAATTTTATACCATAATTAATAGCTCAATTACTACATATCCTAATTATGTAAACTGGCAATGATCTAATCCATTAATTAATAAAACTCTATAGAAAAATGATTACTCAAACAATCGTAAAAAAACATATTTAATGATCACCAAAGGGGTGATGATTAGAACTTACTGATGTCTTTAACCCGAGGGCAGACACAGGGTGCAACGAATTTGTTCTTATTTAGAAATACATGTATTATCTTGTCAGTTTTTTATGTGACGAGTCAATTTCTCAGCTTTGTTACACAACTAACAGTCCTGCTCATGAAAATATTTGATCTGACGGTAAACAGGTGGTAGAATGACTAAGACACGATAAGCTAAAAGTGTAAGCCTTGCAAAGGTGCTTTTGTTCATAGCCTACCTATGTTTGGAGGAATTTTAAATGATAATTTAAAAAACGCAAACATTCGAAACGTATTTTAATTTTGATTAATTTTGATTAATATTTGATTTCCCAGGAGGCGCTCTTAATAAAAATTGTATTTCTTTAAGAAGGCAACAACATTCTATCAGGAAACCGATTAGTCGAGTATCATTTTGGTATTCGATACACGGTACTACCGAGCGATACTCGAGTACTCGAGTACTCGTTGGCATCCCTAATTTAAACATCTGGAGTGGAACAGATAAAGTTTACACAATAGCCAAAAAGTAAATATCAATTGAGCAAGTGTCCTATGGTCAATTACCTCTCACACTGTAGATTATAATTACAGAATAAAATCCTGACAACACATACCATTATTAGTATTTGTAAATACATTTTGAAGAAAACCAGCACGTTCTGGCTTGGGAAATGTCGGACAGGTTGCGTTTACAAACAGTGCACCAAATGTAAATTATAACAAAAAATAAATATACTTGAACTCGATTGACTTTCTTCAAATCGGACTATAGTAGTAATTATTACATCTAAGAGAGGTATTATGGATTACGGATATCCCGGATGACAACACACGCTCTTAAATTAGAAATAAATTTTCGAGAAATGCCTGGTTGACTGTACGACACTAACAAATATCTATTTCTTCAATTATGCCGCTTTTCTTCCTGATATGATCTGTCGTCAAATTTTACGATGTTGTTTGGCAGTAAAGGAACAATATTCGGTCATATTACATATTTACTTTGATTCTACACTACAGTGCAAAGTTGTCCTTCCACTCATGCTAAATGTAGAGATGGACTCCAATGTTTCCCATTACGAGATCTGTGTGATGGGGATACAACTTACTGTCTTGATCAAAGTGACGAAGATCCCAACTTTTGTAGAGGTAAGGGCTGAACTTCTATATACTATTATTTGATAGGTTTGTATATGTAAGATGGAAAATATAACCCGATAAGATAAATACGCAAATGTGCTTTGGTTGCCATTTTACACCGGGCTACTGATATTGAAGAGGGATGCGTATTTTTAAAATGATTACTGTTAAAATTGAATATATATTTTTATATGACCATTTGTGTAGGGGTTAGAAAGCTGATCCATATGTAGAATATTTGCATTCTAATATTGTTATCAATCGTTGTCATGGTTGTTTCTATTATGGTTTTTGTTTTCTATTTCTTTTTTTGTATGTATTGTTGTTCTTATAATTTCAGTACATGTATCGCAATAAGCATTGTTTGCTAAATTATTATGTACCTTTGGCAATTGATTTTAGAGAATAGAATATCCATCTGTTTAATAGATCAAAACTGTGAACCTGGTTACAGTAAGTGTAGGGATGGTATACACTGTTATATGTCTCAATGGATCTGTGATCGTGCTGGAACATATAATTGTCCAGACCACAGTGACGAAGACCCAGAATTCTGTAAACGTGAGTAAATATTTTGGTACACGTTAGACTTTCATTGAAACTTTCTCTCGAATATAGATCAAACAAATGCATTGATAGTGATATTGAAATTAGTCAGTATTTTTATATTTTAGAAAATAACCAAAATATATGTTTATTTTTATAATATTTAATTTTCTATTTACCATGAGAAATTTAGCAAGGCTGTCTAATATATATTTATAATATGTGTACAATAGCGTCAAAATAAAAGTACTACAAAGACAAAACGATATGTTCATACTTAGATCTTGGTTTACTTAGATGTTTCTATTCGTCAATAGTAACATACCAGGATACATATAACATGTCACTGATTTTGTGGTTCACGTATCTCATGGGATAAAATATGCTAGAGCTACAGCTCTCATAATGGTGATTTTACTGACAGAATTATACCCTGAAATCAGTTTAAGCGAGTAAAAAAAGGACGACTGAAATTATCACTTCATAAGATCTACGGTCGCCGTGATCGTATGACGTCATGCGATTCCATCTTAATTAAGCCTTATTTTTGTCTGTAAAGCCGTTAAATGGTATTTTACCGGCATTACAATTTAAGACAAACATATCAAGGTAAATAACAAAACCCAAGGGATTTCCTTGAAATAAAAACCGGATGCATGGACAGACTAAGCGTCTCTTGCTTATAATGCATCACTTACCATGCGAATCAACACTCAATCAGACTACGGGACGTTTAACTCCCTTAACTACATACATCCGCCTTGTGCTGAGCCTGACTCAGCTAGTATAACCATGTGATTGAATCGCAATCTCGGCAAATTATAAAAATAACAACTTGTGTGTTAAGATTGTAGATTATAATTCCACCAGAAGGGATACAGGAGTTTTTACAGAGTGTGTATTGTTTGGTAAACTGAAAGAAATAAAAATACAATATTTTACAATATATACGAAAGAAATATATGAACGTTCAATGCAATATTAATATCAAGTCAAAAACGAAAGTAGAATTTGCAGTTCAATTCAAAGAAATAAACAATTACAGTTCGTATTTGTTGAATAAATGCGTAATTCAAGTTAACGGAATTAACGGAATAAATATTTAACAGTTTACAGTCGAATTGAAACGTACTTGACGGTGATTTGTCACAATATCCACAGGAGCAATTTTGTCGTGGCATCCATTTGTAATTGAAAGGCGAGGAAGAGAAAGTAAACGGTAGTGAACATCTGGATCATTTCCGGAAAATAGGAATGTCTGAAAATACAATCCAATAAACGTTATAATAAATATAATTACGAACGTGATACAGCATACTCCCCGTCTGATGTCTAACTGATATCACTATTTCAAATATATAATCACACTTGAATATCTCACTATATAAATCCATAGTAGCACTATTAACATAAAATTATTTACAGTCGTTCTCTATGAGAAGAATCTTGTCCACGATTGGTCGTGTGTAGATGGTGGCTTTTCCATTTACGATTATTCGTACTTCTGCTTTCCGGACATGTTCGTCTGAACTTTTGAATGAGTTAACTATAACTCCAATGGGCCATTGAGTACGGCAAAGGTTTTTGTCCTTTAGAAGAATGACGTCTCCTTCGATGAGATCACGGCGATCTTCGGTCCATTTTCGTCGTTGTTGCAGTAACGGCAGGTACTCTTTCCTCCAACGGGACCAGAAAACACTGGCCAGCGCCTGTATTCGTCTCCATTCGGCAAGACATAGATCTAGTTTATCGAATTCTCCAAGATGATCTGAAGTGAAAATGTAGTCGGTTTTCTGTGTCAATAACATAGCCGGAGTTAATATTAACGGATTTCACTGGATCTGTTGATACCGGTACCAGAGGTCTAGAGTTTACTATTGCTGAAACTTCTGCCATAAGTGTGTTGAGCACGTCATGCGTCAGGCTTCTTCCGGCTGCATTTAGAAGCATAGAATCAAGAATTCTCCTGGTGATACCAATCATTCTCTCCTAGGCTCCACCCATGTGGGACGAATGCGTCGGATTGAAGATCCAAGTTGTACCAGAATTGCACAGAAATTTCTTGAAGGGTCCATCTTCAACGTTGATTGAGTCAATCTTTAAATCGTCGATTGCGCCAATAAAGTTTGTTCCACGGTCAGATCGGAAAATCTTAACTTGGCCTCTTATAGCGGCGAATCTCCTGACGGCGTTTATGAAGGCTGAAGAACTCATTTCCTCGATTAGTTCGATGTGAATAGTTCTTGTCACTAAGCATGTGAATAAAATTGCCCAACGTTTTGAGTTGGCGTATCCACCACGTGTTTTACGTGAAACAATCGTCTAGGGTCCAAAGGTGTCTATGCCGACGTTAGTAAACGGAGGTGACGGTTCAAGACGGTCCTCTGGAAAATCAGACATGATTTGATACTCGGTTTTTCCTCTGAGTTTACGGCATGTCACACATTTGTGAATAATAGAAGAGATCAAGCGTTTTGCTCCGACGATCTAGAATCCTGCGGATCGAATCGCTCCATCTGTGAAATGGCGACCTTGATGTTTTGTCTTGTCATGGTAGTGTCGGACTAATAATGTCGATATATGATGGCGTCCAGGGACGATCAATGGTTTCTTTTCACGGAGGTTTAAGTCAGATTGTGCAATACGGCCTCCTACTCGTAATAGTCCTCGTTCGTCCAAAAACGGATTGAGGTTAACTATCGGGCTCCGCTTATGAATTTGTTCCTGACGTTTAATGCAATCTATTTCATCTCCGTAAACTTCATGTTGAGCAGATATTAAGATGAAATTTTCGGCATTCGAAAAACCTTCCAGAGAAGTCACTGATGCTGCCTGTTTTGACACGTGTAAACGAGAGAAACGTTCCAAAAAGGCTATCGCTCGCACAAGTGATGTCCAGTTGGAGAATCGGTTGAATCTATCAGTTCCGATACCTTTATGCTCAGATGTGGCAAATGTTTTTGCAAAATTAACAGTTGCACGGATTTCTCCATCTTCCTCTGGATCTATTAGCTGATATATGTCCTCATAATTATTCTGTTCTGAGGAAAGAAGTTGCTTGGTCCCAATAACCATTCACTGCCATGAATTTCGTGGGCTGGGACGGACCTAGTTCCCGAATCTGCGGGTTTATGGTTGGTTGGTGCATAATTCCATTGACTTGGAGAGCTAAATTTACGTATTTTCTCTACTCTATTGGCGACGTAGATAAAGAACCTTCTTGTCTCGTTACTGATGTAACCTAAGACCACTTTACTGTCTGTGTAGAATTTCACGGTGTCTATATGTAAATCTAAATTATCCACGATGGTTTGTGTGATCTCAACTGCTAATACAGCAGCAGAGTGTTCAAGTCGTGGAATAGTATGACCACTTGTAGGTGCAACTTTAGCTTTCCCAAAAATGAACCCTGTGTTTGGTTCACCAGTACTGTCGGTCGTGCGTAGATAAGCGACAGCTGCTATGGCTTTTTCTGACGCATCAGAGAAGACATGTAGCTCCTTTGAGGCGGTGTTGCTGAGATACGGCACGTAGGTACGTGGAATACGCAATGTTCGATAGCAACTAGAGTATCTCTCCAAGATTTCCACTCAGCTGCTGTCTCATCAGAGAGAGGTTGGTCCCAATCGATGGTTTCTGATACTATTTTCCTTAATAGGAGTTTCCCTTGTAAAATCACCGGAGCCAAAAATCCAAGAGGATCGTAGAGACTGTTTATCGTTGATAAAATTCCTCTCCGCGTGATCGGTTTGTTTTCTGATGATAATTGAAATAAGAAGTTGTCAGTGTTTACGTCCCAGCTGAGCCCAAGACTACGTACGTTGTAGGGGTTTGCTGTCGGATTCTAAGTCTAGATCCTTTAGATTTGAGGCCAAATCACTGGCATGAAACGCAGACATAACTTCCGCACAATTAGAGGCGAACTTGTGAAGCCTTAAGTTTCCAAATTTTGCTAATGCTTGCTGTGTGTCCTTCATGAGTTTAATAGCTTCCTCCTTTGTAGGACATGACGTAAGACCGTCGTCGACATAGAAATCTCTTGTAACAAAGCTAGTCACGTGACTGCCAAACTCTTGTTCTGATGCCTGAGCTGCTTTTCTGAGACCAAGCGTAGCAACGGCAGGTGACGGACTATTTCCGAAAACATGAACTCTCATGCGGTATTCGACAAGGTTCTCTTGTAGGTCGTTGTCTTTATGCCATAAAAATCTCAGATAATTTCGAATTCGGTGGTCTTTTCTGACTACACAACAGTGAAACATGTGTTGGACGTCTGCAGTTATTGCGACCATTTTTTCCTGAAACGCAGCAATACTCCTAAGAGATCATTGGTCAAGTCGGGACCTGTTAGCAGGACGCTGTTAAGCGAGACTCCGTTACATTTTGCGGAAGAATCAAACACACCCCTAATCTGATCGGGTTTCTTTGGGAGATAGACACCAAACAATGGTAAATACCAGCACTCTTCATGTTCGTCTAACGGTGGAGCGAGTTCTGTATGATTATTGTCTAGGATCTTACTCATAAATGTGAGAAAGTGTTCCCGCTTTACTTGGTTTCTATTCAGACTGGCGTCTAGCATATTAGCACGATGAAGAGCTTGTGGTCTGTTGCCTGGTAATGGCTGTCTTGGCACTCGGAACGGTAACGGTGCTACCCAACTTCCTTCCGAGTCCCTCACAAATTCGTTGTCCATCTGCTTCATGAACATTTTGTCTTCATATGACATTCCAGGCTTATCATCGTCCCTTGTTTTTTTCAGGATCTGTGTAATTTTCCATGATGTAAAACTTGCTTGTGCATGGTTGAAAAGTTGACGGTTGTCCTGTAGGTAAAATGTTGGTTATTTTGACGTTTAATTCATAGGACACGTGCTGCTTGTTAATGCAAGTCTCTCCTATCACTACCCAACCCAGTTTCAATTGTTGTTCATATGGAGTTCTGGGTGGTCCTATGCGCTGGTCAAGGACGTGGTGTGCCTCTATAAGGTCTCTGCCAATTAAGAGAAGAATTTG